CAGCCCCAAAACATCACTGCTCTAGAGGAGATCTGCATGGAGGAATGGGCCAAAATACCAGCAACAGTGTGTGAAAACCTTGTGAAGACTTACAGAAAACGTTTGAACTGTGTCATTGCCAACAAAGTGTATATAACAAAGTATTGAGAAACTTTTGTTATTGACCAAATACTTATTTTCCACCATAATTTGCAAATCAATTCATTAAAAATCCTACAATGTGATTTTCTGGAAAAAAAATTCTCATTTTGTCTGTCAGAGTTGACGTGTACCTATGATGAAAATTACAGGCCTCTCTTATCTTTCTAAGTGGGAGAACTTGCACAATTGTAAATGAGGCTGTCAACTGTCAGAAATTCACTGGTTGTAGATTTCCCCACTAAAAAGATATATAATCTTAAGAAATGTAGGTTTTGAGTGTAGTTAACCTTTAATTCAACTGTGCAGGCACCTAGCACTGTTGTTTGGTTAGCAGTGTTTCTGTAGTGCACATGAGATGGAGTTTTCAAAACAAATGACCACTGGATTGATGCAAATAATTATATCATTCTCCCAGGTAGGCATAGGCTACTTTGTAGCTAGCTAACATTTAATAGAGAAGGTTTTTGGGAAAGCCTTTCCATCTACCAGAAGACGGTTAGGCCTATCATTAGCATCGCTATATTTTTCCTGTTCCTTAATTGTTTGAAAACTGGACATTTTACCTTATATTATGAGGCATACAGTGGTGTAGTGCTATTTTTGTAGGTGATCAAATGTCAAAAAAATTATGTAAATTGTCATTTCCTCAATCAAAGTTTGTACCAAGAGATGTAGCCTATTGAATAGCCTATCATTATAGAATATGCATAAAATGTCTCCTCCAATTGCAACGTCTGCCTATGCCCACACGTCTGCCTATGCCTGCAGTGCACACAAGTAGCCTACAGCTCTTCATCATTCTCACCACCACCATAGAGAAGACAGGGAAGAAACCACAATTTACCCACCTCGAGGCTGCTATACATTTATACATTGGTTTGTCTTTCAATTTTTTTCATGGAATTTTTTTGGTAATTAAATTGAATTTATTTAGAATGTATCATCCTGACCGGTTGCATCGCTGCCTGGTATGGCAACTGCTCGGCATCCAACCATAAGGCGCTACAGAGGGTATTGCGTACGGCCCAGTACATCACTGGGGCCAAGCTTCCTGCCAACCAGGACCTCTATACTAGGCGGTGTCAGAGGAAGGGCCAAAAAATTGTCAAAGACTCCAGTCACCCAAGTCATAGACTGTTCTCTCTACTACTGCACGGCAAGCGGTACCGGGTGCCAAGTCTAGGTCCAAAACGCTCCTTAACAGCTTCTACCCCCAAGTCATAAGACTGCTGAACAATTAATCAAACGGCCACCTGGACTATTTGCATTGACCCCCCCCCCCCCCCCCCAAATTACCTCGACTAACCTAATAGTTTTACCTGCTCCGTGTATTCTCAAATTGAAAAAAGTGAGGGAACGCTGCTCCGGCAGCACTACAACCTTGGAGGCATGTCTTACCTTACTTCAAAGTAGCCTATAGCCAAAATCCCACCATAGAAACATGGAGACAATTTTATTTCATTGTCTAGCAGCCAAAGGCATGATCCTAGTCATATTACCAACCCATGATAGTTTCGAACAGATATTTTCATCTCTGTCCATGAAACCACCGGTGTGCATTTTAGAACTGTGTTTTCCTGTAAATTGTATTTTGGAACATTTGCTCGTAGGCCTACCGCCTGGGCACATTGCTGCACTTAAAATGTGAGAAAATAATAGTTTATCAACATTTTATGCTAAACATTCTGATCTGTTCCATCAGCCTTATTCATTGATACAGCGTATAGTTCCAATACACGACATTGATACGCATCTTTGATACACATCGTGGGGATTAAGAAGTCAGTATACGCAATGCCCACAAAAAGAAAGTACTCAAGTATCCAGCTCACATGCTCTCTCATAGGCCCAAGTCTGCAGAGCATTTTCAGACTTCTGTAGATTATGAATCAATCATTACTGTCATTTGTACCACATTGCTTTAGCATTTTCCCTGTTGTATTTCCTCAGTACACCGGTCCGTCAACAAGGCAACAAGTAAGTATTTTTTCATTTCTATAGTAGCTACTACACTGAGAAACAGATTTATTGTAGGACAACAATCAATATTTAACCATTAGTAGATGCTATTTAATAAATGTTGCACTTGTATGGCAACATTGGATCTCACATGTTGAGGAGTTGTATTGAATAATTAGGAAGGAATACTGAAAACCTATCTTTCATAACTTCAGATATACAGTGCATTCGGAAAGTATTCAGACCCCTTTACTTTTTCCACATTTTGTTACGTTACAGCCTCATTCTAAAATGGATTCCATTATTTTTTTTGTCATCAATCTACACACAATAACCCATAATGACAAAGCAAAAACAGGTTTTTAGAAAATGTACCTTATTTAGATAACTATTCAGACCCTTTGCTATGAGACTCAGAATTGAGCTCTGGTGCATCCTGTTTCCATTGATCATCCTTGAGATGTTTCTACAACTTGATTGGAGTCCACCTGTGGTAAATTCAATTGATTGGACATGATTTGGAAAGGCACACACATGTCTATATAAGGTCCCACAGTTGACAGTGGATGTCAGAGCAAAACCCAAGCCATGAGGTCGAAGGAATTGTCCGTAGAGCTCCGAGACAGGATTGTGTCGAGGCACAGATCTGGGGAAGGGTACCAAAACATTTCTGCAGCATTGAAGGTCTCCAAGAACACAGTGACCTCCATCATTCTTAAATGGAAGAGGTTTGGAACCACTAAGACTCTTCCTAGAGCTGGCCGCCCGGCCAAATTGAGCAATCGGGGGAGAAGGGCCTTGGTCATCGAGGTGACCAAGAACCTGATGGTCACTCTGACAGAGCTCTAGAGTTCCTCTGTGGAGATGGGAGAACCTTCCAGAAGGACAACCATCTCTGCAGCACTCCACCAATCAGGCCTTTATGGTAGAGTGGTCAGAAGGAAGCCACTCCTCAGTAAAAGGCACATGACAGCCCTCTTGAAGTTTTGCCAAAAGGCACCTAATGGACTCTCAGACCATGAGAAACAAGATTCTCTGGTCTGATGAAACCAAGATTGAACTCTTTGGCCTGAATGCCAAGCATCACATCTGGAGGAAACCAGGCACCGCTCATCACCTGGCCACTACCATCAATACCATCCCTACGGTGAAGCATGGTGGTGCCAGCATCATGCTGCGGGGATGTTTTTCAGCGGCAGGGACTGGGAGACTAGTTAGGTTCGAGGGAAAGATGAACGGAGCAAAGTACAGAGAGATCCTTGATGAAAACCTGCTCCAGAGCGCTCAGGACCTCAGACTGGGGCGAAGATTTACCTTCCAACAGGACAGCGACCCTAAGCACACAGCCAAGACAATGCAGGAGTGGCTTCGGGACAAGTCCTTGAATGTCCCTGAGTGGCCCAGCCAGAGCCCGGACTTGAACCCGATCTAATATATCTCTGGAGAGACCTAAAAATAGCTCTGCAGAGACGCTCCCCATCCAACCTGACAGAGCTTGAGAGGATCTGTAGAGAAGAATGGGAGAAACTCCCCAAATACAGGTGTGCCAAGCTTGTAGCGCCATACCCAAGAAGACTCGAGGCTGTAATCGCTGCCAAAGGTGCTTCAACAATGTACTTAGTAAATGGTCTGAATACTTATATAAATGTGATATTTCATTTTTTAGTTTTTATATAAATTAGCAAACATTTCTAAAAACCAGTTTTTGCTTTTCCATTATGGGGTATTGTGTGTAGATTGATGAGGAGGGGGGGAAACAATATAATCCATGTTAGAATAAGGCTGTAACGTAACAAAATGTGTAAAAAGTAAAAGGGTCTGAATACTTTCCGAATGCACTGTAAATAGAGTACATTAATGGATATGGCTCATAAAGTCTGCTAGAGTAGGTGTTTGTCAGTGGTAGAATGGTAGCCAGCCTTTGATGCTAGTGAAACAGTTCCCTTCCAAGTTTTTGTTTCACTTTACATATTGAGCTCAGACACGTGGGCCTATCAGCATTGGTCAGGTCAGGTGTTTCCAGTATCTGCCATTTTCTGAACTCATGGAGTGAATGTGTTTTCAGTCTTACAGGTTTAACAGTTTCAGGAATGCAGCAAGGGATATGCAAAAGTACAGATGTGATTATCCAGTAAGTCATCATTCTCTTCAAAAAATCTTACACATTTATGCCATTTGTGTATTTTAAGAGTCCTCCAGTTAATCCGTTGTTCTTTCGTGACCCTTCAGATTGCTTTAGCATTTTTTTGTTCTTGTATTTTCTCAGGACCTATGCGGGCAAGAAGAAGTAAGCGTGTTCTTATTTCTTTAAAGGCCCAGTGCAGTCAAAAGTGTGATTTTCCTGGGTTTAAATATATTTCCACACTGAGGTTGGAATAATGCTGTGAAATTGTGAAAATGATGATAATGCCCTTTTAGTGTAAGAGTTGTTTGAAAAGACCGCCTTTTTGGTGGGATGGAGTTTTGGCTTGCCTGGTGACATCACCAGGCGGTAAATTAGTTAATAGACCAATAAGAAAGACAGTTCCAAAACTCTCTGCCAATAACAGATCGTTTTCAGTTTTCCCCTCCCCACTCAGACCACACCTAGACAGTCCTAGTAAAATTCTTGCTTGAGAAATTGCTTTAGCTAAGAAGCTATTTTTGTTTATTTTTTACCATTTTAATTGGAGAAAAAAAATCACAGTAAGGTACTTAGTTGTTACCTGTTACGGATAAATGATTTTATATTGAGATCAAAACCGCTGCGTTAGGCCTTTAAGTAATACTAGAGAATCAGTATAATTTGGTTCATCATTTGACAGGACAATTTCTCTGATGTTAATCCTGTACTGTTGAAATACAGGCATCTAACCAAGAAATATCCCTATTTCTGAATTTGCATTGCATCTTCTTTTCAGGATGATAGGCGTATGCCTAATTTACAGTTCTTTCGTGGACAGAGGGCCTCCTCCCCTGATGGTAATCTATACTGTTTATTGAATGCTGTGTAGATTTGACAAGACTCCAAGACATGGGCATTTGTAACTGTAACCTTTTCTCTGATAAGGTGTCTACATTGAGGACTTTCACAATAACTGGTATGGGAAGTATTCAAAACTGGAAGCTGTTCATTCATACATCCAATGGTCAGTTTCCTTAACATTTATATGGGCTTTTAATAACTTTTAAATAATTTGTTATAAATCAATTCTTTAAAATATATATTTTTTAAACGAACATTTTATTTAGGGTGTTCCATCTTCAAGAACGAGGAATGAATTATCAAGCCAAGGAACTCACCAAGAAGGAAATTGAGGTACTTTGTTGCATAGGCAAAAAATATAGTAGCTTATTTGAGGAAAGAAAGTGTTCTCTACATACTGCATTTACATAAGTCATATCTATTGACTGGGGGGCATAGAAATGAATGAAAATATATTTTGTCCATTATTGTCCTGACTGACAATCTGCTTCCTTCTCAGGCTTTTCTTGAAGATGAAACTGTGAAGAAGAAGCTGGTCAAGTCGTACAAGCTCATGCTGGACTTCTACGGCATACAGATGTCAAATGACACAACAGGGGAAGTGCGATGTACTAATAATTGGCGTGACAGATTTGACAACATGGACAGGTTAGCAAGTTCTTAATTTGGTCATTTAACTGTTATTATTTTATAGTCCTTGCAATATTATGATTTCAGTTTTAAAATGAACCTCTGTGAATAACAGTGCTGAGGTTAATAGTACCCTTGTATTTTTGTTGGTCTTGTGTTTTTTTTATGGTAGACATACACACAACAACCTGCGCATCACCCGCATCCTGAAGTGCCTGGGCACTCTGGGGTTCCCCCACTACCAGGCCCCACTGGTCCGCTTCTTCCTGGAGGAAACTCTTGTTAAAGGCAAGCTGTACAAAGTGAAGGAGAGCGTGCTCAACTACTTCATCTTCGCTTTCCGTGATCAGCAACAACGCAGGGAATTAGTTAAGTATGCCTACGAGAACTATGAGGCCAAACATGAGTTTGTGTGATGCCCTAAGAAAATCCAGAATATTTTCTCAAACAGAGAAGCAGTCTCAGATAATATGCAACTAATGGCAGGCCAGTCCCAGAATGGTGACTACTCAGATAACAGTGATGATACAGTTGAAGTCGGAAGTTTACATACACCTTAGCCAAATACATTTAAACTCAGTTTTTCACAATTCCTGACATTTAATCCTAGTAAAAATTCTAAATCAGTTAGGATCACCACTTTATTTTAAGAATGTGAAATGTCAGAATAATAGTAGAGAGAATGATTTATTTCAGCTTTTATTTCTTTCATCACATTCCCAGTGGGTCAGAAGTTTACATACACTCAATTAGTATTTGGTAGCATTGACTTTAAATTGTTTAACTTGGGTCAAACGTTTCGGGTAGCCTTCCACAAGCTTCCCACAACAAGTTGGGTGAATTTTGGCCCATTCCTCCTGACAGAGCTGGTGTAACTGAGTCAGGTTTGTAGGCCTCCTTGCTCGCACATGCTTTTTCCTTTCTGCCCACAAATGTTCTATAGGATTGAGGTCAGGGCTTTGTGATGGCCACTCCAATAGCTTGACTTTTTTGTCCTTAAGCCATTTTGCCACAACTTTGGAAGTATGCTTGAGGTTATTGTCCATCTGGAAGACCCATTTGTGACCAAGCTTTAACTTCCTGACTGATGTCTTGAGATGTTGCTTCAATATATTCCACATAATTTTCCTTCCTCATGATGCCATCTATTTTGTGAAGTGCACCAGTCCCTCCTGCAGCAAAGCACCCCCACAGCATGATGCTACCACCCCCGTGCTTCACAGTTGGGATGGTGTTCTTCGGCTTGCAAGCAACCCCCTTTTTCCTCCAAACATAATGATGGTCATTATGGCCAAACAGTTCTATCAGACCAGAGGACATTTCTCCAAAAAGTACCATCTTTGTCCCCATGTGCAGTTGCAAACTGTAGTCTGGCTTTTTTATGGTGGTTTTGGAGCAGTGGCTTCTTCCTTGCTGAGCAGCCTTTCAGGTTATGTCAATATAGGACTCGTTTTACTGTGGATATAGATACTTTTGTACCTGTTTCCTCCAGCATCTTCACAAGGTCCTTTGCTGTTGTTCTGGGATTGATTTGCACTTTTCGCAACAAAGTACGTTCATCTCTAGGAGACAGAATGCGTCTCCTTCCTGAGCGGTATGACGGCTGCATGGTCCCATGGTGTTTATACTTGTGTACTATTGTTTGTACAGATGAACGTGGTACCTTCAGCCGTTTGGAAATTGCTCCCAAGGATGAACCAGACTTGTGGAGGTCTACAATTATTTTTCTGAGGTCTTGGCTGATTTCTTTTGATTTCCCCATGATGTCAAGCAAAGAGGCACTGAGTTTGCAGGTAGGCCTTGAAATACATCCACAGGTACACCTCCAATTGACTCAAATTACGTCAATAAGCCTATCAGAAACTTCTAAAGCCACAACATCATTTTCTGGAATTTTCCAAGCTGTTTAAAGGCATTCAACTTAGTGTATGTAAACTTCTGACCCACTGGAATTGTGATACAGTGATTTATAAGTGAAATAATCTGTCTGTAAACAATTGTTTGAAAAATTACTTGTGTCATGCACAAAGTAGATGTCCTAACCAACTTGCCAAAACTATCGTTTGTTAACCAGAAATGTGTGGAGTGGTTTAAAAACTAGTTTTAATGACTCCAAACTAAGTGTATGTAAACTTCCGACTTCAACTGTATATCTGTTCCTCGCAATGATATTGTGAACACAGCTGATTCCATTAGGCCCTGTGTCGGAGCCATGGAACCCCAGATAAAGGTAAATCAGAAATTACTTGTGACAATTTGGCCACTGAACATCTTTCAATTAGCCAACATCATAATGCTCCAAAGCAGTATGGAGCTACTGGTTCTACAAGGCACTCTAATACTGCCCATGGAAATGAAAATAATCCCCCCACCAAAGATGTGCAAAATATTCAGGGAGATGACACAACAGGGAGTAGACCTCATAGAGATTCAGAGGGCAAGAAGAGTAAGACTTCAGTGAATGAGCCACCTACCGAAGAGGTTTCAGAGAGTCTGTTAAATACCAAAGATTCAGCAAATGAGCCACCCCCTAAAGAGGAATCCTCGAGCCAGGTTATGACCAATGAGGTTCCAGCCACAGGGACACATCCTAAAGAGGAATTCCTGAGCCAGGTTATGACCAATGAGGGTCCAGCCACAGGGCCACCACCTAAAGAGGAATCCGAAAGCTGGACTAAGGCCAAAACCCGTCCAAAGTCAATTCCGATTTCAGGAAACTGCCCATCCAAAAAGTGTAAAAAATTAAACAGTAAAACACCAAATAAGACTCCCGCTCCTACCCAAGAGAAGAGAGGTTATGTGGATATTTAACAGGCTGGGTTTTATGTAACAGTGAAAATGCTCAGAAGAGGAGTATTCCTAATAATTCTGCACAGCTAAATTGCGATGGTGAAGCAACCAGAAAGTAGATAAAAAGGTGGAGGGAAAGATTGCAAAGAAATGGATATTAAACAAGTATTAAACAAGGAATAGGACATTATGAATTGTCATTTATTATGTATACTTATAGTGTGGGGACAAAAAAAACTATCTTAACCATTCAATATATATATATATTTATTTATGACTATACTGGTAGGACTTTGTGATCTGGTGGTCAGTCATTGTTTTTGATGAACATTCTTGCTTGCCTTTGGAAGCGATTTCATACTTTCTACTGCTTAAAATATGCTACGTGCCTTAAAATATGCTACCTGCTTTTTTAGACTTGTGATTACATTTTGCATGTATAAACTGAGCTGATTTGAATTAAGTCTCTCTTTTTAGCTTATATGAGGTGAGGTTCCTGCGGTGAGTAGACTGTTCAAATGATACAACTTATTAAGTGTAATGCTGGCTGCCCTTTTCCCAAATACTGTATAGACAGATATGTACTAATCACTTACAATCATGTAATTATTTTGCACTATGGCCTATTTATTGCCTTACCTCCATAATTTACTACATTTGCACACACTGTATATATATGTTCTATTGTGTTATTGACTGTACGTTTTGTTTATCCCATATGTAACTCTGTGTTGTTGTTTTTATCGCACTGCTTTGCTTTATCTTGGCCAAGTCGCAGTTGTAAATGAGAACTTGTTCTCAACTGTCTTACCTGGTTAAATAAAGGTGAATAAAATTTTTTTTTTAAAAATAGTGGCGCAGTGGTCTAAGTGGTCTAAGGCACTGCATCGCAGTGCTAGCTGTGCCACTAGAGATCCTGGTTCGAATCCAGGCTCTGTCGTAGCTGGCCGCGACCGGGAGACCCATGGGGCGGCGCACAATTGGCCCAGCGTCGTCCAGGGTAGGGGAGGGAATGGCCGGCAGGGATGTAGCTCAGTTGGTAGAGCATGGCATTTGCAACGCCGGGGTTGTGGGTTCAATTCCAGTATGAAAAAATTAATAAAAATGTATGCACTCACTAACTGTAAGTCGTTCTGGATAAGAGCGTCTGCTAAATAACTAAAATGTCAAATGTAATGTATAAGTCAGACATCTTCCTGTTCTCAATATTCAGGAAGAATTATACTGTCATCCTCTAAAAATATTTAGGAAAATGTAATCGGTATGATGTACTCTTCTCTGTCCTATTCACTATTCTCTAAGTCAATCATAGAAGTCTCATGTCCAAACTACATTGCTTTTGTTTGTCTGATTACATGACTACATTTCAACTGCCTTTGGTTACAAGACTGAAGTCCTTTGACTTTTGATGTGTTTATATCCATGACAGTTTTTGGTATACTTATCTGTTGCCGGGTGTATTTTAAATTGTCAAATAAAATAAAATCACACTAAATCTTGACCTTCTGATTCACACGTGAATGCAAGTGTTCCGTTGGAGGTGGCTCAACTGGTTGAGACTTACATAGATGGCTTGCTACCTGGCTGCTACTCACAACAAGACTCAGGGCAATTGTCCTGAAGTGGTTTACCCTGACATTGATTTACATGTAACTCATATCAATAAAGAAGTGATCAGAAGAAAACTGTAATTAACAATACTATAGATGCAACCATTCATACTGTTCAATGACTTCAGACTATAGCAATCAAGTGTTTCCTCAATTCTCACATTATCCATTCCAGATATATGGCTTATAATTTCTCTACTTAGAAAAATGTAATTAAAAATATACCAGTATATACACAAATACATTCATATTTACATTACAAGGAAGGGAGTTTATCAGTTACTTTCATGTGATTCTTGTACCATGTGAAGGTACTTTGACAGGAGAAAGGTAGATGTAATATATAAATTACATGGTATAATAAAGTCAGTTGAATTTAAATGACCTCAAAATGAGTTTCTTCAAATGTGACTAAATCCATAACATATGAATTGGCAAAAGGAAAACAACAATTTTTAGACCACTACAAGAGCATTTTACCATAAGATCCTTTGTCATGTAGAAAAACATTCCCAATAACATCTATTTACATTTACAGTTATGATGCTGAAAGTGAAAGTCACAGGGTGATTGAGTTTCTACAGAGAAAAGTTGTCCACAAAAGTAAGACATGTGTTTTCATCCCTTTCCACCTCTGCAGGTGTATCACTCTCCTTTGGGACATCAGATTTGTTTGTTTCTTTTTTGTCTTCTCTCTTTTCTTTGCTCTTGCTCCTGTCCCGGCGGTCTCGGTCTTTGTCCCTTTCTCTATCTCGGTCCCTGTTTCGGTCCCGGTCTCTGCTCCAGGACCTGTCCCTTCTCCTGTCTCTGTCATGATCCCGCTGCCTACTACAGTATTTGTAGGCCTACTGATAACTTAGGACTAAGGTTAACTCTTGTATCATGTTCACCTCTCTTTAATGTCTCTGCAGTCCATGTCAACAGAATGATGTATGGGAAACATCACCAGGCTGTGTTACCATTACATACTTATAGTGGGAGAAGGCGGCTGGATGTGTATCCCGGTGAAAGTGTGGACTAACTCAAATTATTTTGAATATACTGCCATAATGACATTTTTTCACTTTTCTGTCGCAAAGTAGCTTAGGCCTATAGATGGTGCTGATGTTCAACACAGAGCAATAATTATGTAGGTGGTAGGCCTACAATATGGCCCATCAAAGGCATTCATTTTTTTTCTGAAAAGGTTAGGCCTATAATTTAAGTGAGGGGAAACAGGAGAAAACCAAATCAAGTCTGGTAAAATAGTTCCAACTGTTAGGTATGTTTCACTTTACAAATAGCTAGGCTTACATGACTCCAGTGAGTCATTTGACCAAACCCATATCAACAAAAAAGTGTAATGGGTTCGCACTCAAAAAGATGACTGTACGTCGCTTTGGATAAAAGCGTCTGCTAAATGGCATATTATATTTAAGCTGACTTCATTATTCTATTTTTGTAAATGATTTTCACTGTATCAAGGATAGCGTACCAAACCCATATCACTCGGCAGTAAACTGGATTGGCTGGTACCAAACCCATATCACTCAGCAGTAAACTGGATTGGCTGGTGTTTATGACTTCTCGTAAACGTTGGTGGAGGCACATGACGTAGAAAAAAACGAAAGTGAAACTGTACAGACGTTCTCCGAATCCGAATGCAAGATATCGTGGTGGCTCTCGTGGTTTGGTCAATCATAAACTAATCTTTGTTAACCTTTAGAACATTTTCAATAGGCTACAAAGTCAATAGGCTACAGAGTACATTATCTTGTTATTAGGGCAAGGGCGCGGCAGAGTTAGTGGGCGTCCAATGATAATAGGAAGAGAGCTGGCCCGAGCAGTAAGTAGTAAAATGTTTTGCTAAATTGAGACAACAACTTTTTAGGATGCTTCGCAGGATTGAACGGTTGTGGCCATTTTTCCTGGTTCCAGTTCTCTCCTACTTACCCTGGAGATTGGTTCATGGGAAATTGTTTCGCTTGGCTTTTGGAACGCACAGGGAAATGTATCATGCCAAGTGATCGTGACAGTCCAGAATCCCTTCCCAGTGAAGGAGTGAGGAGTCCAGAATCACTTCCCAGTGAAGGAGTGGGGAGTCCAGAATCCCTTCCCATTCAAGAAGTGGAGAGTCCAGAACCCCTTCCCAGTGAAGGAGTGGGGAGTCCAGAATCCCGTCCCAGTGAAGAAGTGGAGAGTCCAGAATCCCTTCCCAGTGGAGCATTGGGGAGTCCAGAATCCCTTTTTAGTGAAGAAGTGGAGAGTCCAGAATCCCTTCCCATTCAAGAAGTGGAGAGTCCAGAACCCCTTCCCAGTGAAGGAGTGGGGAGTCCAGAATCCCGTCCCAGTGAAGAAGTGGAGAGTCCAGAATCCCTTCCCAGTGGAGCATTGGGGAGTCCAGAATCCCTTTTTAGTGAAGAAGTGGAGAGTCCAGAATCCCTTCCCATTCAAGAAGTGGAGAGTCCAGAACCCCTTCCCAGTGAAGGAGTGGAGAGTCCAGAATCCCTTCCCAGTGGAGGAGTAGGGAATCCCGAATCCCTTCCCAGTGGAAAAGTGAAGAGGCCAGAATCCGATGAGTACTACTGCGAGTACGACTCGACATGGGAGGATCCTCCAAGCAAAGAAACCAGTCGTCAAAGGCCCCAACATGTACGTACACAGGCTCCTGGGCCCTGATTATGTTTGTTTTGTTGTGGACTCTCAGCAGATGAGTTTTAGAATACTGTAGCCCAGGGGTATTCAACTCTTCCCCTACGAGGTCCGGAGCCTGCTGGATTTCTGTTCTACCTGATAATTAATTGCAGCCACCTGGTGTCCCAGGTCTTAAGTCAGTCCCTGATTAGAAGCGAACAATGGAAAAAACGCAGTGGAACTGGCTTCGAGGTCCAGAGTTGAGGGCTGTAGCCTATCATTAAAAGTCTCCTATTGGCACCATAAAATACAGATGAGATATTTAATTTTCCAAAGCAACATTTACATTTAACATATTTTTTCCAATGTAGACCTAGAATAATGTTAATAACTCATCCTTTAGAATTTTCAGACAAAAATCGTATAAAATGCTTTTCTCAATGGCTTATACATGTGCTCTGTCATATGCCCAAATCTTCAGATAATTTTCAGACCTCAGCAGATTATGAATCACTACTGTTCTTTGTACCTCATTTTCACTGTTGTATTTCATCAGGTGTGGGTACACCAGGACACCGGTTGGTCGCAAAAAGTAAGTGTTATGTTCTGATACATTGAGAAACAGGGTTTTGGGACAACATTTATAAATATTTATTTAACCATTATTGCATTTGTACAACATTGCATCTCATATTGCTCACCATTCAAAGCTCCGCCAAGGGGTTAGGAATACTGATGTATTATGTCTGTCTATGTGAAGATCTCCATCTTTAACTTGAAAATACATCAAATGGGTATTACTGATAAAGTCTGCTATAGGCCTATGTCAGTAGCCAAGTAGAATGATTGCAGGCCTATGCAGCTAGTGACGTTTTACTTCCAAGTTTTTGTTTGACTTTACATATGAGCTCAGACATGTGGGCCTATCAGTATTGTTTAGGTCAGGTGTTTCCATAACTGCCATTTTGTGAACTCATGGAGTGAATGTGTTTTTAGTCACACAGGTTTAACAGATTCAGAAGTGCAGCAAGGGATATGCAAAAGTACAGGCGTGATTATCCAGTAAGTCAATATTCTCTTCACACAATATTACACAATTGATGCTATTTCATATAAATCCACCTCATAATGATGGTGTGCCACAGGCTACATTATCAATCCTAATGCAGTTCTACTGCTGCTGACTATTAATCATAGACTCTTAGGAAACAAGGTTGCTGAGTAGAACCATATAGGATTCTTCGGTTTGTCCCCATAGGCAGGGGTGTCGTGCAATTTTCTTCAATCAAAGTTTGTACCTACAGCCTATTGAATAGCCTATCATTATAGAACAGAGCTCTCTAACCCTGTTCCTGGAGAGCCACCCTCCTGTAGGTTTTTCACTCCAACCCCAGTTATAACTAACCTGATTAATCTTATAAACCAGCTAATTATTAGAATCAGGTGCGTTAGATTAGGATTGGAATGACCAATTAGTGAACATAAATCATTACTACGTGGAATTGCAGGAAATGTATTTTAAAACAGCCATAAAATCAAGCTTTTGGTGTGGTGTATTGATGCATCTCTATAAACAATAACCTACATGCATTATTACCTCCAACTTGGCCCAATTCACATTTCCAATTTCCCACCCTGATATCCCAAGCTAGAATGGGCACTGCGTCTCAATAGCCAATAGAGGCTAAATATCCGAAGCAGGGCTACAGAAACGTCAAGAGTGGGTCAGGCTCCTTGGGCTTTGCGGTGGCCACTCTGGTTTGGGTGTCCTTGGCAGAACGGTGTCACCGTAACCAAGTGGTCACATATCGTTCTGTGTTCCACTGTGCAAAAGGGGTCCGTGGAGTTTTATGAACATCAAGGCAGACACAGGGTGAATTTAGATTTTTTTTCGACGTTCTGATTGGCTAAAGTGGTCAAGCGTCCGACGGGCCTCCGCAGTGCACACACGTAGCCTATAGTTCTTCATCATTCTCGCCACTGCCAGAGAGAAGACAGGGAATACACCACCATTTACCTCAAGGCTGCTATACATATTTATTTGGTTTATCATTCTATCGTTTCTTAATGGAATTTTTGTGGTAATTAAATCAAATTTATTTAGATTTTATCTGAATTTATTTTCCAAAATAGTTTTACCAGCGCCTAGTATTCTTAAATTGAAAAAGGTGAGGGAACGCCGCTCCTCCACTCTCTGGCAGTACTACACCCCTGCCCATAGGGGAACCCTTTTTGGTGCTAGGTAGAACCCTTTGCAGAGGGTTCTACCTAGAACCCTCTATGTAGGGTTCTTCATAGAACCCTCTGTAAATGGTTGTACCTAGAACTCTCTATGAAGGGTTATTCCTAGAACCTTCTATAAATAGTGCTAACAAAAACCCTTTTATCATCTCAAGGTTATTCCTAGAACCTTCTATGAACGGTTCATCCAGCCTTATCAGGCTTTACAATTAAACTTTTTATGACAATCAATACATTACATGTATCACAAGGCCTTTCTTTGAGGGCGGTGTTAGGAAACTCCTGGTTTACAGACCACATCAGGCCTGCAAGTCACATCATGCTGGCTTGCAAAGTGATATGTAATTGATATGTAATTGAGAAAATCCAACAATTTGAACTTTTAATCACCCGCAACCTGCTTTCAGAATGATTGCCAGGGTAGGGAAGATTGATAGGTGAGACTACTTAAATCATCTAAACTTGAACAACCATCTCAGTAACGGGTACAATACAGTGCCTTCAGAAAGTATTCAAACCCCTTTACTTTTTCAACATTTTGTTGTGTTACAGCCTAAATTTAAAATTTATTAAATTTAGATTTTTTGGTCACTGGCATACACACAATACCCCATAATGTCAAAGTGGAATTATGTTTAAAACGTTTTTTTAAACAAATTAATTAAAAATGAAAAGCTGAAATGTTTTGAGTCAATACATTTTGTTATTTTTACATTTTAGTCATTTAGCTGACGCTCTTATCCAGAGCGACTTACAGTTAGTGCATATATTTTTTCATACTGGCCCCCCGTTATGGCAAGCCTAAATAAGTTCAGGAGTACAAATGTGCTTAACAAGTCACATAATAAGTTGCATGGACTCTTTGTGCAATAATAGTGTTTAACATGATTTTGAATGACTACCTTATCTCTGTACCCCACACATGCAATTATCTGTAAGGTCCCTCAGTCGAGCAGTGAATTTCAAACATAGATTCAACCACAAAGACCAGGGAGGTTTTCCAACACCTCACAAAGAAGGGCACCTATTGGTAGATGGGTAAAATAATATCCCTTTGAGCATGGTGAAGTTATTAATTACACTTTGGATGGTGTATCAATCAACCCAGTCACTACAAAGATACAGGTGTCCTTCCTAACTCAGTTGCCGGAGAGGACGCACACCACTCAGGGATTTCACTATGAGGCCAATGGTGACTTTTAAACAGTTACAGAGTTTAATGGCTCTGATAGGAGAAATCTGAGGATGGATCAACAACCTTTTAGTTACTCCACAATACTAACCTAATTGCCAGAACCCTTCTTGCCTTCCAAGGAACCATCAAATAACCCTTTGCCTTACAAAGAACCCTCGTCTTCCAAAAAGGTTTTTAGATGAAAACAGTTCTTGGTAGAACACTATCCCTCTGCAAATAACCCTTTTAGAACCCTAAGAGTGTAGTCGGTAGCTTGTACAGTAAATAGCACTTGGTTCTTGTTTCCACAGGAGCATAGAACACACTTGTACTTTGGCGGGCAACAACAAGTAAATAAGTTATCATTCCTTTATGTAATAAATAGAAAAACTGAATGATTTAAGTAATAATTTCACTGTCCAATTCCTCTATAATTATTGTACTGTTTTGATACAGCTCTCTGAGAAATATCCTCATTTCTGAATTTGCATTGCTTTTTCCCCCTCAGGATGATATGCCTAATTTACAATTCTACCGTGGACAAATACCCTCCTCCCCTGATGGTAATCTATTTACTGTTTCTTTGAGTGCAGTTTAGATTTGACAAGACTTTGACATTTGTAAATGTAACCTTTGCTCTGATTAGGTGTCTTCATTGAGGACTTTCACTATAAATGGAAAAGGCAATATTCACAACTGGAAAGAGTTCACTCATACATCCAATGGTTAGTTTCCTTTACATATGTACATGGGCTTTTAATTATTTTTATTTGGAATATTAATTGTTATAATACAATTCTTTAAAATGTGTGTGTGTGTGTGTGTGTGTGTGTGTGTGTGTGTGTGTGTGTGTGTGTGTGTGTGTGTGTGTATACAGTTGAAGTCGGAAGTTTACATACACTTAGGTTGGAGTCATTAAAACTCGTTTTTCAACCACTCTACAAATTTCTTGTTAACAAACTATAGGTTTGGCAAGTCGGTTAGGACATCTACTTTGTGCATGACACAAGTAATTTTTCCAACAATTGTTTACAGACAGATTATTTCACTTATAATTCACTGTATCACAATTCCAGTGGGTCAGAAGTTTACATACACTAAGTTGACTGTGCCTTTAAACAGCTTGGAAAATTCCACAAAATGATGTAATGGCTTTAGAAGCTTCTGATAGGCTAATAGACATCATTTGAGTCAATTGGAGGTGTACCTGTGGATGTATTTCAAGGCCTACCTTCAAACAGTGCCTCTTTGCTTGACATCATGGGAAAATCAAAAGAAATCAGCCAAGACCACAGAAAAAAAATTGTAGACCTCCACAAGTCTGGTTCATCCTTGGGAGCAATTTCAAAATGCCTGAATGTACCACATTCATCTGTACAAACAATAGTACACAAGTATAAACACCATGGGACCACGCAGCCGTCATACTGCTCAGGAAGGAGACGCGTTCTGTCTCCTAGAGATGAACGTACTTTGGTGCAAAAAGTGCAAATCAATCCCAGAACAACAGCAAAGGACCTTGTGAAGTTGCTGGAGGAAATGGGTACAAAAGTATCTATATCCACAGTAAAACGAGTCCTATATCGACATAACCTGAAAGGCCGCTCAGCAAGGAAGAACCACTGCTCCAAAACCGCCATAAAAAAGCCAGACTACGGTTTGCAACTGCACATGGGGACAAAGATTATACTTTTTGAAGAAATGTCCTCTGGTTTGATGAAACAAAAATAGAACTCTTTGGCCATAATGACCATTGTTATGTTTGGAGGAAAAAGGGGGGCGGCTTGCAAGCCGAAGAACACCATCCCAACCATCCCAACGGGGTTGCAGCATCATGCTGTGGGGGTGCTTTGCTGCAGGAGGGACTGGTGCACAAAATTAATGGCATCATGAGGAAGGAAAATTATGTGGAATATATTGAAGCAACATCTCAAGACATCAGTCAGGAAGTTAAAGCTTGGTCGCAAATGGGTCTTCCAAATGGACAATGACCCCAAGCATACTTCCAAAATTGTGGCAAAATGGCTTAAGGACAACAAAGTCAAGGTATTGGAGTGGCCATCACAAAGCCCTGACCTCAATCCTATAGAAAATGTGTGGGCAGAACTGAACAAGTGTGTGCGAGCAAGGAGGCCTATAAACCTGACTCAGTTACACCAGCTCTGTCAGGAGGAATGGGCCAAAATTCACCCAATTTATTGTGGGAAGCTTGTGGGAGGCTACCCGAAACGTTTGACCCAAGTTAAACAATTTAAAGGCAATGCTACCAAATACTAATTGAGTGTATGTAAACTTCTGACCCACTGGGAATGTGATGAAATAAATAAAAGCTGAAATAAATCATTCTCTCTACTATTATTCTGACATTTCACATTCTTAAAATAAAGTGGTGATCCTAACTGACCTAAGACAGGGATTTTATTCTAGGATTAAATGTCAGGAATTGTGAAAAACTGAGTTTAAATGTATTTGGCTAAGGTGTATGTAAACTTCCGACTTCAACTGTGTATGTATATATATATATATATATATATATATATATATATATATATATATATATATATACAGTGGGGGAAAAAAAGTATTTAGTCAGCCACCAATTGTGCAAGTTCTCCCACTTAAAAAGATGAGAGAGGCCTGTAATTTTCATCATAGGTACATGTCAACTATGACAGACAAATTGAGATTTTTTTTCTCCAGAAAATCACATTGTAGGATTTTTAATGAATTTATTTGCAAATTATGGTGGAAAATAAGTATTTGGTCACCTACAAACAAGCAAGATTTCTGGCTCTCACAGACCTGTAACTTCTTCTTTAAGAGGCTCCTCTGTCCTCCACTCGTTACCTGTATTAATGGCACCTGTTTGAACTTGTTATCAGTATAAAAGACACCTGTCCACAACCTCAAACAGTCACACTCCAAACTCCACTATGGCCAAGACCAAAGAGCTGTCAAAGGACACCAGAAACAAAATTGTAGACCTGCACCAGGATGGGAAGACTGAATCTGCAATAGGTAAGCAGCTTGGTTTGAAGAAATCAACTGTGGGAGCAATTATTAGGAAATGGAAGACATACAAGACCACTGATAATCTCCCTCGATCTGGGGCTCCACGCAAGATCTCACCCCGTGGGGTCAAAATGATCACAAGAACGGTGAGCAAAAATCCCAGAACTAGTGAATGACCTGCAGAGAGCTGGGACCAAAGTAACAAAGCCTACCATCAGTAACACACTACGCCGCCAGGAACTCAAATCCTGCAGTGCCAGACGTGTCCCCCTGCTTAAGCCAGTACATGTCCAGGCCCGTCTGAAGTTTCCTAGAGTGCATTTGGATGATCCAGAAGAGGATTGGGAGAATGTCATATGGTCAGATGAAACCAAAATAGAACTTTTTGTTAAAACTCAACTTGTCGTGTTTGGAGGACAAAGAATGCTGAGTTGCATCCAAAGAACACCATACCTACTGTGAAGCATGGGGGTGGAAACATCATGCTTTGGGGCTGTTTTTCTGCAAAGTGACCAGGACGACTGATCCGTGTAAAGGAAAGAATGAATGGGGCCATGTATGGTGAGATTTTGAGTGAAAACCTCCTTCCATCAGCAAGGGCATTGAAGATGAAACGTGGCTGGGTCTTTCAGCATGACAATGATCCCAAACACACCGCCCGGGCAACGAAGGAGTGGCTTCGTAAGAAGCATTTCAAGGTCCTGGAGTGGCCTAGCCAGTCTCCAGATCTCAACCCCATAGAAAATCTTTGGAGGGAGTTGAAAGTCCATGTTGCCCAGCGACAGCCCCAAAACATCACTGCTCTAGAGGAGATCTGCATGGAGGAATGGGCCAAAATACCAGCAACAGTGTGTGAAAACCTTGTGAAGACTTACAGAAAACGTTTGACCTGTGTCATTGCCAACAAAGGGTATATAACAAAGTATTGAGAAACTTTTGTTATTGACCAAATACTTATTTTCCACCATAATTTGCAAATAAATTCATTAAAAATCCTACAATGTGATTTTCTGGATTTTTTTTTCTTCTCATTTTGTCTGTCATAGTTGACGTGTACCTATGATGAAAATTACAGGCCTCTCTCATCTTTTTAAGTGGGAGAACATGCACAATTGGTGGCTGACTAAATACTTTTTTCCCCCACTGTATATATATACAGTGAGGGAAAAAAGTATTTGATCCCCTGCTGATTTTGTACATTTGCCCACTGACAAAGACATGATCAGTCTATAATTTGAATGGTAGGTTTATTTGAACAGTGAGAGACAGAATAACAACAAAAATATCCAAAAAAACGCATGTCAAAAATGTTATAAATTGATTAGCATTTTAAGGAGGGAATTAAGTATTTGACCCCTCTGCAAAACATGACTTAGTACTTGGTGGCAAAACCCTTGTTGGCAATCACAGAGGTCAGACGTTTCTTGTAGTTGGCCACCAGGTTTGCACACATCTCAGGAGGGATTTTGTTCCACTCCTATTTGCAGATCTTCTCCAAGTCATTAAGGTTTCGAGGCTGACGTTTGGCAACTCGAACCTTCAGCTCCCTCCACAGATTTTCTATGGGATTAAGGTCTGTAGACTGGCTAGGCCACTCCAGGACCTTAATGTGCTTCTTCTTGAGCCACTCCTTTGTTGCCTTGGCCGTGTGTTTTGGGTCATTGTCATGCTGGAATACCCATCCACGACCCATTTTCAATGCCCTGGCTGAGGGAAGGAGGTTCTCACCCAAGATTTGACGGTACATTGCCCCGTCCATCGTCCCTTTGATGCGGTGAAGTTGTCCTGTCCCCTTAGCAGAAAAACACCCCCAAAGCATAATGTTTCCACCTCCATGTTTGACGGTGGGGATGGTGTTCTTGGGTCATAGGCAGCATTCCTCCTCCTCCAAACACGGCGAGTTGAGTTGATGCCAAAGAGCTCGATTTTGGTCTCATCTGACCACAACACTTTCACCCAGTTCTCCTCTGAATCATTCAAATGTTAATTGGCAAACTTCAGACGGCCCTGTTTATGTGCTTTCTTGAGCAGAGGGACCTTGCGTGCGCTGCAGTATTTCAGTCCTTCACGGTGTAGTGTGTTACCAATTGTTTTCTTGGTGACTATGGTCCCAGCTGCCTTGAGATCATTGACAAGATCCTCCCGTGTAGTTCTGGGCTGATTCCTCACCGTTCTCATGATCATTGCAACTCCACGAGGTGAGATCTTTCATGAAGCCCCAGGCCGAGGGAGATTGACAGTTATTTTGTGTTTCTTCCTTTTGTGAATAATCGCACCAACTGTTGTCACCTTCTCACCAAGCTGCTTGGCGATGGTCTTGTAGCCCATTCCAGCCTTGTGTAGGTCTACAATCTTGTCCCTGACATCCTTGGAGAGCTCTTTGGTCTTGGCCATGGTGGAGAGTTTGGAATCTGATTGATTGATTGCTTCTGTGGACAGGTGTCTTTTATAGAGGTAACAAACTGAGATTAGGAGCACTCCCTTTAAGAGTGTGCTCCTAATCTCAGCTCGTTACCTGTATAAAAGACACCTGGGAGCCAGAAATCTTTCTGATTGAGAGGGGGTCAAATACTTATTTCCCTCATTAAAATGCAAATCAATTTATAACATTTTTGACATGCATTTTTCTGGATTTTTTTGTTGTTATTCTGTCTCTCACTGTTCAAATAAACCTACCATTAAAATTATAGACTGATCATTTCTTTGTCAGTGGGCAAATGTACAAAATCAGCAGGGGATCAAATACTTGTTTCCCTCACTGTGTATATATATATATATATGTTGTTGTTTTTTAAACAAACATTTCATTTAGGTTGTTCCCTCTTCAAGAACCAGGAATGAATTATCAAGCCAAGGAACTCACCAAAAAGGAAATTGAGGTACTTCTAGTAGTTTTTTTTTAGCAAGGAAATGTTCTCTACATACTGCATTTACGTACAGATAACTACGAAAATAAAGGAAACACTTGCGTAAATGAGGGATACAAAGTATATTGAAAGCAGGTGCTTTCACAAAGGTGTCCGTCCTGGGTTAATTAAGCAATTAACATCCCATCATGCTTAGGATCATGTATAAAAATGCCCAGTTGCCCATTATTTTGGCTACCTTGGCAAGAAGAAGAGATCTGTGACTTTGAAAGAGGGGTCTGAAAGGAGAATTGGAGATTTAAAGTGTGTGTGTGTCAGTCACCAGATCTCAACCCAATTTAACTCTTGAGACAGCATTTTCCACCACCATCAACAAAACACCAAATGATGGAATTTTTCATTAAAGAATGGTGTCGCATCCCTCCAATATAGTTCCAGATACATGTAAAATCTATGCCAAGGCGCATTGAAGATGTTATGGCGGCTCGTGTTGGCCCAACGCCTATCAAATCAAATCAAAATCTAATCAAATGTTATTTGTCCCATGCTTGGTAAACAACAGGTGCAGACTAACAGTGAAATGCTTACTTACGGGCCCTTCCCAAAAATGCAGAGACAAGATGAGATTAAAATAAAATAAATAATAGAAAAATAGTAACACGAGGAATAAATATACAATGAGTAACAATAAGTTGGCTATATACAGGGGGTACCAGTACCGAGTCGATGTGCAAGGGTACAAGGAAATTGAGGTAGATATGTACATATAGGTAGAGGTAAAGTCACTAGGCAACAGGAAAGATAATAAACAGTAGCAACAGCGTATGTGATGTGTGTGGAAGTGTGTGTGTGTGTGGCAACAGTATGCCTGTGTGTACATGTTATGTGTGAGTGAGTGTGTGTATGTGTTGGAGTTTCAGTGTAAGTATGTGTGAGTGTGTGGGTAGAGTCCAGTGTGTGTGTGTATAGAGTCAAAAGAGTAGAAGCTGTTCAGGGTCCTGTTGGTTCCAGACTTGGTGCATCGGTACTGCTTGCCGTGCGGTAGCAGAGAGAACAGTCTATGACTTGGGTGGCTGGAGTCTATGACAATTTTTAGGGCCTTCCTCTGACACCGCCTAGTATAGAGGTCCTGGATGGCAGGGAGCTCGGCCCCAGTGATGTTCTGGGCCATACGCACTACCCTCTGTAGCGCCTTGTGGTCGGATGTGAAGCAGTTGCCATACCAAGCGTTGATGTAGCCAGTCAAGATGCTCTCAATGGTGCAGCTGTATACCAAATATTTTCAGCCTCCTGAGGGGGAAGAGGCGTTGTCGCTCCTTATTCGCGACTGTGTTGGTGTGCGTGGACCATGTTAATTCATTAGTGATGTGGACACAGAGGAACTTGAAGATCTTGACACGCACCACTACAGCCTCGTTGATGTGGATGAGGGTGTGCTCGGCCCTCCGTTTCCTGTAGTCCACAATCAGCTCCTTTGTCTTAATGATGTTGATGGAGAGGTTGTAGTCTTGGCACCACACTGCCAGGTCACTGACCTCCTCCCTATAGGCTGTCTCATCGTTGTCAGTGATCAGGCCTACCACTGACGTGTTGTCAGCTAACTTGATGATGGTGTTGGAGTCGTGCGTTGCCACGTAGTCGTGGGTGAACATGGAGTGCAGAAGGGGACTAAGCACGCACCCCTGAGGGTCCCCCGTGTTGAGGGTCAGTGTGGCGGATAAGTTGTTGCCTATCCTCACCACCTGGGGGCGGCCCATCAGGAAGTCCAGGATCCAGTTGCAGAGGGGGGTGTTCAGTCCCAGGGTCCTGAGCTTAGTGATGAGCTTGGAGGGCACTATGGTGTTGAACGCTGAGCTGTAGTCAATGAACAGCATTCTCACATACAGTGGGGAAAAAAAGTAATTAGTCAGCCACCAATTGTGCAAGTTCTCCCACTTAAAAGATGAGAGAGGCCTGTAATTTTCATCATAGGTACACGTCAACTATAACAGACAAATTGAGAAAGATAAATCCAGAAAATCACATTGTAGGATTTTTAATGAATTTATTTGCAAATTATGGTGGAAAATAAGTATTTGGTCACCTACAAACAAGCAAGATTTCTGGCTCTCACAGACCTGTAACTTCTTCTTTAAGAGGCTCCTCTGTCCTCCACTCGTTACCTGTATTAATGGCACCTGTTTGAACTTGTTATCAATATAAAAGACACCTGTCCACAACCTCAAACAGTCACACTCCAAACTCCACTATGGCCAAGACCAAAGAGCTGTCAAAGGACACCAGAAACAAAATTGTAGACCTGCACGAGGCTGGGAAGACTGAATCTGCAATAGGTAAGCAGCTTGGTTTGAAGAAATCAACTGTGGGAGCAATTATTAGGAAATGGAAGACAAACAAGACCACTGATAATCTCCCTCGATCTGGGGCTCCACGCAAGATCTCACCCCGTGGGGTCAAAATGATCACAAGAACGGTGAGCAAAAATCCCAGAACTAGTGAATGACCTGCAGAGAGCTGGGACCAAAGTAACAAAGCCTACCATCAGTAACACACTACGCCGCCAGGAACTCAAATCCTGCAGTGCCAGACGTGTCCCCCTGCTTAAGCCAGTACATGTCCAGGCCCGTCTGAAGTTTGCTAGAGTGCATTTGGATGATCCAGAAGAGGATTGGGAGAATGTCATATGGTCAGATGAAACCAAAATAGAACTTTTTGGTAAAAACTCAACTTGTCGTGTTTGGAGGACAAAGAATGCTGAGTTGCATCCAAAGAACACCATACCTACTGTGAAGCATGGGGGTGGAAACATCATGCTTTGGGGCTGTTTTTCTGCAAAGGGACCAGGACGACTGATCCGTGTAAAGGAAAGAATGAATGGGGCCATGTATCGTGAGATTTTGAGTGAAAACCTCCTTCCATCAGCAAGGGCATTGAAGATGAAACGTGGCTGGGTCTTTCAGCATGACAATGATCCCAAACACACCGCCCGGGCAACGAAGGAGTGGCTTCGTAAGAAGCATTTTAAGGTCCTGGAGTGTCCTAGCCAGTCTCCAGATCTCAACCCCATAGAAAATCTTTGGAGGGAGTTGAAAGTCCGTGTTGCCCAGCGACAGCCCCAAAACATCATTGCTCTAGAGGAGATCTGCATGGAGGAATGGGCCAAAATACCAGCAACAGTGTGTGAAAACCTTGTGAAGACTTACAGAAAACGTTTGACCTGTGTCATTGCCAACAAAGGGTATATAACAAAGTTTTGAGAAACTTTTGTTATTGACCAAATACTTATTTTCCACCATAATTTGCAAATAAATTCATTAAAAATCCTACAATGTGATTTTCTGGATTTCTTTTTCTCATTTTGTCTGTCATAGTTGACGTGTACCTATGATGAAAATTACAGGCCTCTCTCATCTTTTTAAGTGGGAGAACTTGCACAATTGGTGGCTGACTAAATACTTTTTCCCCCACTGTAGGTGTTCCTCTTGTCCACGTGGGAGAGGGCAGTGTGGAGTGCAATAGAGATTGCGTAATCTGTTGGGGCGGTATGCGAATTGGAGTGGGTCCAAGGTGTCTGGAATGATGGTGTTGATGTGAGCCATGACCAGTCTTTCAAAGCATTTCATGGCTACAGATGTAATAATGTGGTCCTCTGTAGCTCAGCTGGTAGAGCACGGCGCTTGTAACGCCAAGGTAGTGGGTTCGAACCCCGAGACCACCCATACACAAAAGATTTATGCACGCATGACTGTAAGTCGCTTTGGATAAAAGCGTCTGCTAAATGGCATATTATATTATTATTTATAATAATAATATGCCATTTAACAGACGCTTTTATCCAAAGCGACTTACAGTCATGTGCGCATACATTTTTACATATGGGTGGTCCCGGGGATCGAACCCACTACCCTGGCGTTACAAGCACCATGCTCTACCAATTGAGCTACAGAGGACCACACTACGGGGCGATAGTCATATAGACAGGTTACCTTGGTGTCCTTGGGCACAGGGACTATGGTGGTCTGCTTGAAACATAGTTTTTTGGGTACTAATTTTGGGTAGAGCAGACATTTCCATTTATTTTTGTTATTTGAATGTGTGACATATTTATGATATAATTTACAAAGATTATACCGTTTTTATCAATCAGTATATTTGAGTTTAACCATAATATTTGTTGTAATATTTGTTCTGTCTTTTCTGGTTGATTAAACTGAAATTCCATCCAACTTTCTATGGCTTGTTTTAAGAAGAGCGATATTTTGGAGATTATTACATTTTCAAATAGCCGAAAGTGAGAGGTTATAATCTGAATAAAGGTAAAAAGGCCATTCTTGAACATGGGGTGAGACATTCTTAATAATCTGCTAGAGAACCAGTTCGGATTTAAGTATAACTTTTGTATGACTGATGCCTTTAGTGAGAGGTCTAATGGTTTAATATTTAATCATTTCTGCCATCCGAATTCATATTTATTATATAAATAAGCCCGTTTAATTTTGGCTTGTTCAGTGTTGCTTGCCTCAAAGCGAGCATAGAAGGCATTTAGCTCGTCTGGTAGGCTCATTTCACTGGGAAGTTTGGCTGGGTTTCCGTTTGTAATCTGTGATAGTTTGCAAGCCCTGCCACATCCGACGAGCATCAGAGCCGGCGTAGTACGATTCGATCTTAGTCCTGTGTTGGCGCTTTGCATGTTTGATGGCTCGTTGGAGGTCGTAGCGGGATTTCTTATAAACGCCCGGATTAGTGTCCCCCTCCTTGAAAGTGGCAGCTCTAGCCTTTAGTTCAGTGCGGATGTTGCCTGTAATCCATGGCTTCTGGTTGGGGTCTGTACATAAGGTCACTGTGCACTTATTAATGAAGCCGGTGACTGATGTGGTAAACTCCTCAATGTTATTGGATGAATCCCGGAATATATTCCAGTCTGTGCTAGCGAAACAGTCCTGTAGCTTAGCAACCACTTCATCGGACCACTTCTGTATTGAGCGTGTCACAGATACTTCCTGTTTGAGTTTTTGCATGTAAGCAGGAAGCAGGAGGATATAGTTATGGTCTGATTTGACAAAGGGAGAGCGAGGGAGAGCCTTGTATGCGATTTTGTGTGTGGAGTAAAGGTGATCTAGAGTTTTGTCGCTTCTAGTTGCAATGTGACATGTTGGTAAAAATGAGGTAAAATGGATATCAATTTCCCTACATTAAAATCATTGGCCACGAGAAGCGCCACCTCTGGATGTGCATTTTCTGGTTTGCTTATGGCCCTATACAGTTCATTGAGTGCGGTCTTAGTGCCAGCATCGGTTTGTGGTGGTAAATAGACAGCTACGAAAAATAGTATGGTCTGCATTTTATCATGAGGTATTGTAACCCAGGCAAGCAAAAACTCTAGACTTCCTTAACATTAGAGATCGCACACCAGCTGCTGTTGGCAAAGAGACACACCCCTCCTCCCTTCGTCTTACCTGAGGCTGCCGTCCAGTCTTGACGATGCATAGAAAAACCAGCGAGATGTATATTATCCATGTCCCCCATTCAGCCACAACTCTGAGAAACATAGAACATTACAGTTTTTCAGGTCCCGTTGATAGGATAGTCTCGAATGGAGCTCGTCCAGTTTGTTCATTAGTGACTGTACATTCACCAATAGAACTGAGGGTACAGGTGGTTTATTAGCTTGCCGACATAATCTCGTCAAGGTGTCTCTTCGCCTGCCTCTCTTGCGCCGTTGCTTCCTCTTTCGAGTCCCAGAGATTAGGGCCTGTTCCAGAGGAAGCAGAACATCCAGAGCTGCCGACTCGCTGAAGTAGAAATGGTCATCCAAATCAAGGTTAGTGATCGCTGTTCTGATGTCCAGAAGCTGTTTTCAGTCATAGGAAATGATGGCAGAGACACTTTGTACCAGACAAACTATGTTGGTGTTTCCTTTATTTTAGCAGTTACCTGTATGTCATCTATTGACTGGTGGGCTTAGAAATTAATGAAAATACAATTTGTTCATAATTGTTCTGAATGACAATCTGCTTCTTCCTCAGGCTTTCCTTGAAGATGAAACTGCGAAGAAGAGGCTGGTCAAGTCGTACAAGCTCATGCTGGACTTCTACGGCATACAGATGTCAAATGAAACAACAGGGGAAGTGCGACGTGCAAATAACTGGCGTGACAGATTTGACAACCTGGACAGGTTAGCAATTTCTTCATTGGGTCATTTAACTATTATTTATTTTATAGTGATTGCAATACATAATAGCTAAAATTTCAGTTTTCAAATTAACCTTCTGAGAATAACAGTACCTTTGTATTTTTGTTGGTCTTGTGATTTTTCTATGGTAGACATACACACAACAACCTGCGCATCACCCGCATCCTGAAGTGCCTGGGCACTCTGGGGTTCCACCACTACCAGGCCCCACTGGTCCGCTTCTTCCTGGAGGAAACTCTTGTTAAAGGCCAGCTGTACAATGTGAAGGAGAGCGTGCTCAACTACTTCATCTTCGCTGTCATTGATAAGCAAGAGCGCAGGGATCTAGTTGAGTATGCCTACAAGCACTATGAGCCCAAACATGAGTTTGTATGGTGCCCTAAGAAGATCCAGATGACTTTCTCAAATGGAGAAGAATTATCAGATAATAGGCAACCAATGGCAGGCCATTACCAGCATGGTAACTACTTAGATGACAGAGATGTCAGTGACGACCTATCTGTTCCTCACAATGCTATTGTTAGCACAACTGTTTCCATTAGGCCAGAAGGCAAGAACAATTCAGTGAAAGAGCAATCTCCTCAAGACTTATCCCAGAGCCTGGAGAAGACCACTGAGGTTCCAGCCATAGAGCCATGTCCTAAAGACCCATCCCAGAGCCAGGTTCAGACCACTGAGGGTCCAGCCATAGAGCCATGTCCTAAAGACCCATCCCAGAGCCAGGTTCAGACCACTGAGGGTCCAGCCATAGAGCCATGTCCTAAAGACCCATCCCAGAGCCAGGTTCAGACCACTGAGGGTCCAGCCATAGAGCCATGTCCTAAAGACCCATCCCAGAGCCAGGTTCAGATCACTGAGGGTCCAGCCATAGAGCCATGTCCTAAAGACCCATCCCAGAGCCAGGTTCAGACCACTGAGGGTCCAGCCATAGAGCCATCTCCTCATAAGGTATCCCTGAGCCAGGTGAATAAAGCCAGAACCAGAGATGGCACAAAGGGCCCCCGCCCCAAAAAGCCTAGAATTGGGGAAACTACCTAAACAGTTTTGGAGAGTGTAGTGTCTGAGGGTCTATGATTGTGCTGACGTTTGCAAAAGTGTGTTAGAGGAAACTTGGCTCTGCTTTCGGAAACATCTGGAAAGCATGACTAAGTTCCTGGAAAAAAGGATATGGGAAGATATGTGAAAAGCCAGGGATTGGTGTATTAAAATCACGCCATACTATGTCACATAGGATATAAATACCAGGTCTTGAACAAAGGAGATGAGAATAGCAAATCACAGAATTGGGTCCGGCTGTTCTTTAGATATCTGCAGGTATCTGTAAATCTGACGCTGAAACTCTTTGTTATAATAAACCTTTATAATCAAAGTACAGTGTCAGCGGATCTTCTTATCATCACGGCATTATCAGCAATGTTTGTCTTTTCACCACATTTTAATGGCGACGAGGCTTTTGGGACGTGATATGTCTTTTCTCTGCATTCCATTCCTGGGACTTTTTTAAGACTGTATAGAGATGTTTTGTAATTGATAACAACATAACTATAAATCTGCAGATTAGGATAAGTGCAGATAACAAACTTGGAAGTAGGATTTGTGTTCTATGTTCTGTGTTCCGTGTTCGTTTGTGAGTTTTGTTAAGTGTTATTGTTTGTCTATGGGAGGAGAGAACGGAGCGACAGCAGGTCTGTCTACTCTGTTGTTTGGCTTGGAGAGAGAGATTTTTAGGAGGGCTCTGTTCACTCTGAAATCGCATTGGTGACTGAACTGCGCACGCGTGGGATTTTATGAGTTTAGAGTTACGTAGAACAGATGTGCCACTCCCCTGCACTGAACTGCTGGGAGACGCAGTCTCAGAGCAGACAGAGAGGGAGGGGGAAACTTGCACACAAGTGGAATGTTCTGCTTGTTGAATTAACTGTTGCTTGACTGTGAAACTGTTTGGTTGATATCGGTTGAGTTGGTGAATGAGAGATATATTGACGGATTAAAAATAATAATAATAAAATAAATAAATAAAATAAAATGTTATTGAGCTATTTATAATATTCCTGAGTTAAGCTGTTTGCTTATTTCTTAGCGTGAATGTGAATATAAGTATGCATAAAATACTAAATTGTTGTCTGTTCCTTTGTTCTTCTGTCATATGAGAGACGAGAAGGAGGAGACAGAGAGAGAGAGAGAGAGAGGAGGTGCTGACCAGTACATCAGCGACAACAATCCAGTCCAATCAAGGCCAGTACTGTTCTTATCCACAAAACCTACTTTCCCTTACAGGATATAATACATACATTGTGTACACATAGAATATTTCATGTTGTGACCATTTCGCAGGAACTTGGCAACAGACTGATGAATTGATGTAATTGATAATTGCACATTAGAGTTTTTGTGAATGACTTGTTTTGATTAGTGTTGTGTTGGAAATCCAGCATTGACATTATTCTGTAAAATTAAGATAATTGGGTGCTTATTAAGCAATTGGGTTGTGGGTGCTGTAGTGTTGCTGGATTACAGGTCTTTTCTTTTTGGATTGCTCTGAAGTTGACTACTTTCCTTTACTTTTCCTGATCGGATGTGGTAAGACTGCCACTAATCAATAATTTGGTAAAATAAAATTCATAAAATAAATTTATATATTGATTAATTAATTGATTAATTGATTAATTATTTTTAATTTAAATAAATTAATTAATTTTAAAAAAGAGGGAAACATATAACAGAGTCGTTACAATGGGGAAAAAGGACATCAAAACTACAAAAGCAATTACTCCTCTTGAAGTAGTACAGAATAGTAATCCTCTAGTTAATGGTATTGCAAGATTATCTGAAAAATGGAATAAACGTTGGCCTGACATTGAACAACCATGGCCAGTGGAAGGGACTCTTAACCCAGACGTCATCAAGATAATGCAAGTGCTTGTATCCACGTATAAGGCAGATCAAAAGAAGGGGGGAAAAGGACAACAACGTAAAGAAAAGAGACAAAGAGAGCTGGGTGTTCTTAAGCTGTTTGAAAATGAAGGACAAAAACTGATAAAAGATACAAAAGATAAGAGAGACAGAGGTACAGAGAAAATGGCAAAAGAGGTGAAGGTGACAGAAAAACTAATGGCAGAAGTCAATACACCTTTCTCACATATGGATTCAGCAAAAACACCCCCACCTTATGAGAAAGAAGCCAAGTTTAAGGACGTTTATCCTCAGCTTCCAGTGATCATTCAGGAGGGTGACTATTGCATCAGAGATGAAGATGAACGAATAATAGAGAGAGGACAAGCAGAAACGACCATAAAGATGAATCCAAACTCCAAAAGTAGGAAGAAAACGAGATGTCTGGAAACTAAGGGTAGAGTGAGGTTCAGGAGGATGGAACTTGATGATGATGATGATGATGATCAGAGTGATTCAGAAGAGATCATGGGTGGATATGACCCTGTCATCAGACAGAGGTTGGCCAGAGCGGAAAGAAGGGGTGATGGAAGTTGGAAGAAGAAGAATACAAGTGATTCAAGTTCTGATGAAAATGAAGATGGAGACAACGATGAACATTTGGGGATTAAAGGTGCTTCATATTCAAGAGGATTTTATCCTACAATGACTAGCACAGAATAAATAGAAAGAGATATAGACCGATGCGTATCATACCTGGATAAGGCCAATAATTTAGAAGAAGTAAGAGAGCTGGAAGAACAACTCAAGAAGCTGAAGATACAGAAGAAAAAACTGCTGAAAAAAGGATCCCAAGAATTGGAGAAGAAGTATACATTGAGGCCAAGACAAGGGAGCACAAGTAAGAAGATGATGCCAGTGATCATTCGAGGACAAAACCTAGAATATAAGCCTTTGCAGAATACCGATATGTCAGATATACTTGAGAAGCTGCCTACTCTTCAAGATGGAGCATATCCTTGGATTTCAAAGTTGGAAGAAATTACGGTGGGAACACAGTCTGCCATAGGAGACATTAAGAGACTTTTGGCTAATCTCCTTGTGATTCCAGGCATGGAAGACATTTTTCAGAGAGCTGGACTTCATAGATATGTGGGGACTGCAGTGAACGACCCTGAATTGTTGGCTGCAAGTAGAAATCGGCTGTGGAGAGCACTGAGAGATACGTTTCCAACAAATGTGCATCCTGACAACATTCTGATTGATCCACTAGGACAACAAGAAAATCCGAGAGCCTACGTGTCAAGAGTTCATCAAGTGTGGAGAAATATTACCGGAAATGATCCAGATGTGAGTCAAATTGAGCAGTCAATCTTGAGAGCTAAACTACAGATGGGACTGCCCTCACCAGTAAGGAGCAAACTGGCAGAGGTGGTTGGACTTGGAAGCATGACAAAAGGTGTCTATACAGATCATATAGCCCATCAAGTGGATCTGTACCGGAAAAAGGAACACAACCAGAAAGAACAGGACCAAGAAACTCTCAGAAAACTCAATCAAATACAACTGGTGGAGAATAAGAAGGAGAAGAAACAAGCTCTGGTTATGCAGAATCAGTGTAAACCAAATCAACAATCACTGCCACAGCTTCAACCGAACCAGTTCCAACCGCAATTGTACCAGACACCAATAGCGGTACCAGTTGTTTCATATCCATAGATAGTTTCTGGAAAGAAAGAATTTCAGAGGAAGATACAGGAGCAAGTGAAGATCATCTGGAGGACAGGTGAACCCTTATAGGAGCAAGGATTCTAGGGGTGCCTAGAAGATCCGAAAGGGGGGTTTCAGCTGGTAGCACCAGTTAGGGAAAAATATCCAACAATTGAAGTGAAAATAAACAATGGACCATGGGAAGTGATGATGGATAGCGGAACTGCTTTTATCTGTGTTCAGCCTGAAGAGGTTACACATCTCACTATGTCAAATCAACTAATTATGAGAAGGATTTGGAGGAGTGAAGATCAGCGATTTCTGAAAATGATGATTTTGGCTCAAGGACAAGGAGAGTCATAAGCTGTATGGATGACAGATGAATCTATTTGAAGTGTGAAGATGAATTGAGAATCTATGGAAGAAGAGATGTTGAAAAAAGTTCAAGAATGTTTGGGATATCAAAGTAGTACTGATATTGGATTTGTGAAATCAGCCCAATCGAGGTGAAAGTTGAACTTCGACCAGGAACCAGACCTCCTTGGAAGAATCAGTATCCATTGAAAGATGAAGCAATCCAAGGGATTGAACCAGAAATTGAAGGACTTTCGAAAGCAAGTGTTTTGAAGACAATGAAAAAAAAAAAAAATTCCTTAGAGTAGCAATCAATTATTGTTTTGGAGAAACCATGATGATTTAGGAAGCTATGGGTTAGCTAATGTTGTAAAGGGGAGGTTAGGAGAAAGATCACAAAGGAGTATGGTTTTTGGAATCATATTTTCTGGAATAGATTGACTATGTCATAGGCAGGTGCATAATCTGTCTGAAAAATAATGTGTGACTGATATTCTTGGTTACATTCATATACCAAGAGGTGCATAAGATGTTCAACTAAGCTAAAAGATGCTCAGTCGGTTGCAAAGTTGTTGTGTAAAGAAGTCATAAGCAGGTGGGAATTTCCCGATTTAATATCCTCAGAAAATGGGAAAGAGTTTTGTGAATAAATCAGTGAAATGGTTTTTGAAAAAAAAAAAAAATTAGAGAAAAAGAAAACATTGGAAAAAGTCAGACTAAAATGTTATGAAACTAGGGTTGAAATAACTCTAGGAAATTTGGAATATCTGATTGTGGGATAATTATATTATTGTGATATTTAGTATTTTCTTATGAATCAAAGGGGGAAATGGGATGTGATTAATTGTATATATAATCTTATATATCATTCTTATATTATTGCTGATATTGATGTTTTAATTTGAACGTGTTGTTTTGCAAAAGATACTGTTTGGTCTTTTCTTTTCTTCCAGAAGCATATGGGGGAATATGTAGAGGGACTCAAATACTCAAACATGGACAATATG